TTGGGAAGGGCGTACGCCAGGGATGTGTCCTGTCTCCATACCTTTTCAATCTATATGCAGAACAGATTATCCTGGAGGCTGAGCTCTCTGAGGAAAAATGTGGCATCAGGATTGGAGGAAGATATCAACAATCTGCCTTATACAGATGACACAACCCTGCTTGCTGAAACTGAGGAGGACCTGAAGTACTTGCTGCAGAAGGTCAAGGACTGCAGCCTTCAGTATGGATTGAAGCTCACCATCAAGAAAACAAAGATTCTTACCACTGGATAAATTGGCAGCATCGTGAAACATGGAGATTGAGATTCTTAACAACTTTAGTCTGCTTGGCTCCCCAGTCAACCAGGAAATTAAAACCATATTACATTGGGAATATCTGCTGTCAGAGACCTCTCCAAAGTACTAAAGAGCAACAATGTCAGTCTGGAGAGGTCATAGTCTTTGCAATCACATGCTAGACATCAGAGAGCTGGAGAATGACTAAGGGTGATAGAAGGAGAATTGATGCCTTTGGGCTGTGGTGTAGGAGGAGAGTGTTGAATATACCATGGACTCCTAGGAGAACAAACAGGTTCTTCCTGGATAGGGTGAAACCAGGCTACTCCTTGGAGGTAAAGATTCTGAAACTTTGTCTGACATACTTTGGACATGTTGCAAGGAAGGACCAGCCATTAAAGAGGGACATCATGCTTGGGAGGGTGGAGGGATAGCCCAGGAGAGGAAGACCCTTGATGAAATGAATTGTTTCAGTGACTGGCGTAATAAGGGTAGGTGTGTTGGAGACAGTGAGATTGGCACAGAATAGAGCAGGGTTTAGGACTGTTGTACTTAGGGTCACTATGAGTTGCAGGCAACTCCATGGCACATAGCAACAACAACAATAACAACAACAACAACAACAGCAACATATAGTTTGTCAAAGCACAGTGTTCTCTACATTTTATGACTTCCTTTTAGATGATGTTCTTTTTATCTGCCGGTCAAACAGTAACTGACTAATAGCTGAAGCTCCAGAGCGTTTTCAGAGGCAGTAAATTTCATGGGCAGAGATTTCCTATCTTTCACCTGTGTCCTTTTAGATAAGTCAGTTACTTATTCTGTAGTTGGGCTTGCCCATTAGTCAGCGTCCAAGTGGTTGCTGACTTTAGACATGAGAGCATTAATGATAACCTCTAACCATTCCTGTAACTTATTCTGAGCTTTAAAAGTTGATGCAGGGTATCATACCAACAACTGAAGTGCTGATTTTTAAGGGAAACTAAAGATTATTCAAGAGATGCTTCTCAGCTCTAAATTCTAATCTCAAAGTACTAGATGGTCATTAATTTAAATGCAAACCCCATCTTCCTTTGTAGGAAAGATATTGTTTTAATATTTCCCAATGACTGTTGTTGTTAAGTATGATCAAGTTAAGCATGTTGTTGTCATGTGTCATTGAGTCGCCTGTGACTCATAGTGATCCTATGTATA